GATAAACAAATGAGTATCTTTTTTTTTTTTGTTCAAAACAGAATATTTAATAATTATATTATTATCCGTTTCGATGATTTCGGTTGTTATATAAATAATGTATTGTTTTTTGTTCGATTGTGTATTGATGATATGTGATCCAAAATAAGAACTTATTATAGAAAGAAGAAAATCAATCCTATTTTGTTACCAATTAATCATTTTACTTTTATATTTTATTATATTGTTTTCAAATGACAGTAGAGAATTTTTTTGTTTTTTAAGATAATGATTACATTAACCAAGAGAGATCTGATTTATTTACAAAGTTTAAAAGTGAAACAACTATGAACAAACCGACTAAACTAAACAAATAAAAAGGCAAAGAGGAAAAATTTTCGTCTACTCTATAAGGATTTTATAAAAGAAATTTCTGAATAAAATATCTAATAAATGATTTATGTATTCTATATAAAATAATGTGTTTTTGTCAAATATGATCTAAAATGAATATTGAAATATAAAATATTTGTCTAGATGAAACAATTCTCAATAAGTAATAGCAATGTTCGAAGACTTCAATAAAACTAGTTTTATTAAGATTTTTTATAAAAATTTTATTTTATAGATCAAAATAAACAATAAGAAAACTGTTCATGTATTTCCTTGATCGATTTATTTTTTCAATTTATCGATAATCCGAGAGTCATTTTGATGAAGAAAATTTGATAGAGAGATGAGGAATATCTCATTTTCCTCTATAGAATTAAAATTCTTCTAAAAGTATTCGAATAGATAGGATATATATATCATTTTATAAAAATATTCATTCAAATCGTTACCTTAGAACTTTCCGATTTGATTATCCTGATCAAGAATCATTTTACATACACAAATCTGTTTTTAAGATTGTTGCTGGTTATAATCATGTCGAAGAAAAGTTTTAAATATAATTTATATTTATTTCCTCATCTCTCTCTCTCTCCGTTTTATCATAGAGAATGTGAGATGTTTTGTTGATATAGAATAAAATACTCTATCACAATACCGTCTAGTTAACAACTTGATTATTACCTTTCTCAAGTATCAACTAATTGAAATTCTCTATAAAGTGTACTAGTAGTATTATTATTTTCTTTTTTGTTGATAGAACAGTAAAGCCTGATGTTGAAAATCTAATGATAACAAGTTATTTATCTTATCTAAAGAAAATATCTTATTTTATTATCATTATTGGATCTTTATTAAATGTTGATGTTTTCTTGCTCGAATAAAACGAAATTATTTCTTATTTATCTTTTCATTGTTAATCTTAAATAAAAGGTTAAATCAATTGAAATATTAGAATAGTTAATATAGTTGTGCTAGTGATTGATATATTAGAGAAAGTGAAAGATAATTATTGACGTTAGATTTTGCTTTATTATTTAATATAGTATCTAGTTTAGAATTTATCAAAATATATTTCAAAATAGCATAAAATCAAATATTTTTTTTAATAATAACCTTTAACAATTATATTATTCAACTTGTCAACGGTAGAGAACTTGTTCAAATCTTTTTTTTTCTACTTTATTATATATTGACGTATTTGAACTTTTATGGAAAATCGTTTATCTAGATAGATGGTATCTCTGGATATGCATCATACAAATTTGTTGATATTCCTTCTGACTAATATAATAATGTGTGAAAAATAAATAAATCCTATTCAATTTATTGATGGAATATCTCAAATTTGTGATTGTATATTCATAAATTAGAAAATAAAAACATTTATTTCGTGTCGATTAGAAAGATTCTAAGAATGAAACAAGTATTGAAAGAAAATGGTCAATTTACACGTGATTTAAATTTCTTTACCAGGTTATTTTTGTCAGATTAATCGAAATTGGTCAGTCTATTATCAATTGACATTTGAATATATCGACTACCCTTTCCTATACAAATATCAACAACATCTAGAGAAACACATATCATCCAAAAAAAAAATAAATAGAACGACCTTCTAAGTATATTATTCGATCAATGAGATAAGATTCTAATAAAAACTAATTTATCGAAAAAAAGATCGAATAGAGGAGGATAATATCTACCTTCGAAGATCCTATCTCTGGACATAGATTATTATATTGATAGTCACTCATCTATTATCGTTACTCTAGACATGATCACTATCATCTATACACTTGTTACAGAGATAATTCATTTTACTCTACTACATTTACAATTATTAAATATTTCAATTTTTGAATTGAGTTGGGAAAAAAAACAAGATTCTTTTGATCCTTACTCTAATATTATTATAATCTATAGTTTTAATGAGAAGACGATATAGTATGCTTTGTTTAGCTAGATTTTATTAGACAGATAGATTTTCATCAGAATAATATCAATTAGATAGAGATTATTTATCTTAGAAATGAAGACTTTCAACTATTATTTTCGATGGTACTAAATTTCTAAATACTAAAAGTTCTTCAGAATTATTTTTTGATCATTGATTTAGATGTTTTTGGAGAGTTTTCACGGAAACTCAATTAAACGTCGACAGAAGAGATATTCGAGATACAGAGATCTAGGAGACATAGTAAAAAGTTATTTCTTTTTTATGATTGATTTATTTTTCGAGCAAGGATCGATAAGTTGAATGAATATATCTGAATGAGTTACTATTCAAAGTCAACCACTATATTAAGATTATCTAGACTAGTTAATAAATATCTCCTATATGTTGAATATGTTGAATATTTGATATGCCTTCGTATATCTTGAGTATCTCTTATATCTTCTTCGTCGGTGTTTAATTTAGTTTCAGCGTAAATTCTCCGGAGACATGATATGGAAAGTGATTATGATGTTCTACGAATGTAAATCGGATGATCTCTATCAATAATAATAATATTCCCTTGAGATATACTAGATTGATAATAATTCGAATAATAATTTCTATAATCGAGACATGATTAACTATGTTAATTGTTGGTATATTTAATAGATATATAACATAAACATAAACATAACATGGATTTTATATAGAAATAAGAGCAATAACAATTGATTTATTTATTTTTTTGATTTTTCTAATTAAAACTTTATTATTGATAGTGGTCGTGTATTATCTATGATTGATGTTATTCATCTTGGATTTATTTTAATTGGTATAAATCGTCCGATTTACATTGGTAGAAGAAGACACTAATTTTCATTAGTTTTGTTCTGATAATTGTCTCATAATGAATGAAAATTGAAGTAAAAGAATATTATTCTTTTCGATATAATTGTTATTATTATTATAATAAAAAAAAAAAAAAATAAATTATTGATTTATAAACTAATATTGTTGTTTTTATTTAAATACAAAGTCAATGTTATATTTATGAAAAGTCTTGAGAGAATGATATATAGATAGATAAAATATTTTATTCAGTTCTAAATTGTATGTTAACAGTATATTCAGTATCTTATAATTCGATTTTCTTTGTTTTTTTCTGGAAGGTTACATACTGATACTAATCTGGTCGTTTGTGCATGGCTTATTTCTATTCTTTATCTTAATTTTCTGTCGTTTCTTTTCGCTTTCTTCTTTCTCTTATTCTGATTGTACTCTCTGTAGGATTGATGTCGATAGTTTGTTCTCTTCTAATGTATGCTTTTTCATTGGAAATGACAAAAATGTTGTGGTTATGTGTGCCTGGAAATCCAATTGAATAACTAACAAATGTTTTTATATATAGCGAGGTAATAATATAAACGGTTTTAGATATCTAAACTAAGAAAGAAAAATGGCACAGTAATATATTAGGTCTTCTGTCCTTCTCTATATTCTCTATACATAATACGATTTGTAAGCTAAACATAGAATAATTTGCTGAATGCTCTCTAGAGAACAAGGGAAAACGACACATTTTTTCTGTCATTGTGTAAGGTCACTTTTATTCCGTTTTTGTTCTTCTATTGCCATAGATGGTAATGGAATAACTGGTTTGTCATATTAAGATAGATAATCATTCGTCACCTTTATACGGTTTCCATATTTGTGTTAGATCTTTTTTGGGATATTCTTTGTATAATATATAAATTCTATTTTCTCTTATTCTCACTCAGTTAATATATGGTTAACATATTATTCAGTTCTAGAAGAGTTACCCAATTCTTTCTTCGTTTACGTTATTCGAATGTATTATTTTAAGATCGACGGATTAGTTCATATGAATAACAGCATCTCGCAAATGTGTTTCATATTTTTCTTTGTCGAGCAACTTTCTTTTATACGCAAAGAGTTAATATTTGATACTTTTTCATAGAGAATTTATTTTTTAAAATAATCATCAGCGTTTTCGAACAGTCAACTTCTGTAAGTATTGATGATTTTCGATCATAAGTAAGTAACGTACCAGAATATAAGTTTATTCTGAATGTTTCTTGATAAAATAAGTGTAGACTCTCATAAATTGTAGTAGATTAAAAGAGAACTTATTTAAATAATCTATATTCTAACAGAATCATTTCCTGATGATTTTGAGTTGCAATAGACATGAACACTAGATTCTAATCATGTATTTTACCAACGAAACAAACATATTCTTAGTTAGAGAAAACCTAAAAATCAGTTTTCAGACATTTTAATACGAGAAAAGCTTCTAAGATCATTATGTAAACCTCTTTAAATAGATGGTTTATCTCTCGAATAAATTTCAAGATTTTTTTGTCGTCCTCTGATACAGAGTTTATTCTTGTCTCTTCTACCTTTTCATTGTTACTCTCGATGAGAGTGACTGCCTAGATATTAAACAGACACACTAACCATCTTTCTTGATGTTTCCTACATCCTTCATTTCTTAAATATGGAACATCTCTCAACTATTATAACAAAGAGATACAACATTTATTTATATGCTCTTTCATTTTGTATGACAACCTATTGAAAGTTTTATTATAAAATCTTTTTTGTTTTAGATTGTAGTGGTGATTTTTTCTCAATAAAACAACCAAATTCTACATACTATTCTAAAACGAAGATGAGTAATATTACAGCCGAACAGAAGAAACTTCTTCAATCAACAGTAGCCACTATGAGAGAACATGGCAAGGATATAACAACGAAATTCTATGCTACATTGTTCAAAGAACATCCAGAATTTCGCAATTTTTTCAATCAAACAAATCAACAAACAGGAAAGCAACCTGCAGCACTCGCCGAGACCGTCTTTCAATTTGTCGAACATCTTGACAATTTGGATGTAATGACACCACAGATGTCACGTCTCTCTACCAAACATCGTGCTGTTACTGTCAAACCGGAGCACTATCCAGTTGTTGGCAAATATCTTATACAATCAATAAAAGAATATTTAGGTGACAAAGGAACACCTGAAGTAATGGCTGCATGGCAAGCTCTATATGATCTTATGTCATCAGTCTTCATTAAGAAAGAGAAGGAATTGTACGATCAACTTGGTAATGATGAACGTGATAAAGGTTTCGTTCCATTCAGTGTTGCCAAGAAAGAAAATATTGCAGCTGGATCAACACATCTTTTCACGCTGACACGTCAAGATGGTGGAAAAATCTGGCCTTTTACTGTTGGACAATATATTACAGTACGCGTTGAAAAAGATGGTGTACTCCATCATGGACACTACAATCCCGTCGAACCATGCAATGGTAACGATTACAGTATCGTTTGTCGGGAAGGACATAATGATCAAAATACCATTGTCTCAGAAGAACTTATTCACAACCGCGCAGTTGGTAGTACGGTCTTAGTTTCAGCTCCAGCTGGTACTTTTGGACTCGTTAAGGATGCCAAACAACATTTATTTATTGCTGGTGGTATTGGTATTTCTTCTTTGATGGGAATGATCAACGAGTTGAATAAACAAGGAAAAGCAGCTTCAGCAACAGTTATTCAATGTGCACAAACTGAAGATCGTGCTACCTTTGCCAATCAATTACGTAATATACTTCCAAAAGGTCAACACACAGTTTTGACAAAAGAAAATCCAATATCAAAAGACCATATTCAAGGCAAATTACAGGCAGATACCCATGTCTACACGTCTGGTTCGGAAACATTTTTGGCTGCAGTTGAAAATATTCTCAACGGAGCTGGCCATCCACGATCTAACATTCATATAAAATCAATCGAACCAACACTTGGATTATTAAAAGCTATTGGTCGTAAATAAATCATCTCAGATTAAAATAATAGCAACTCAAAAAAAGAACTCTAGAGTCCTTTCCACCTCTTTATCCCACTTTATCTATTAACTAGATACTTTGCTAATATCCAAATATTTTATTGTACTATGCACGTATTAGTTACTTTTTGTTTCACTTATTTATTAATTAGCGTTTCTTATTTTAGTGTAATATTGTTTTTTATCTGATTGAAATAAACAAAGTCAAAGATGAAATACATAGTAAGAATGTCTCTCTATTTTCGTCTAAAAAATGTTTGAGATCATGGAAGATTTTATTTTACGATAAATTCAAAATCAACAACGGACAATATTAGAGAAAATAGAAGTATGAGAAGTGCAAAGTTATTGTCAATCTTTCCATCTTCACCAACAACACTCAGTTATGATGCATTATCTTTCAAAATCAAGTTTTTATTTCTACTATTGACTTTGCCACAAACTAAAATACTCAATCATATGGCTTCGATAGTAAAAACTATTTACAGTATTCCTGCTTCTAATACTAGAGGAAAAAAAGCTCGAACTTATCTCTGTAGTTAATTGAGTATAGAATAGAAAATAATGTATGCAATAAGAAAAGAAGGATTTTGGTAAATGTCATAAGGAAAATAATATGAAGTTTCCCTTGTAACTATTATTATCTGCTGTCAATTATCATGTAATAAATCATCTTTATTGCCATTGATATCATTTTATTCTAAGAAGAAACAAGAAAAAAAAAAAGAAGTACACATCTATACTAATATAGTGATAGTCAATAAGAAGAAGACTATTTTCACATGTTATCCTTAAGATTGGAAAAAATATCTCGATAAGAGTACGACTTTCTTTCTTTCTTTGTCAATGATACTCTCTCTCATTAGAGTGTATTGCCATTGATTCACCAACTGCTTATTTATTTTTTTCTTGTAAAATCTCAATCAATATTAATAATAATATAAGCTCAGTTTATGCTCCTTTTTATTTTAACAAGCTCATCTCAAGCGTCCATTCTACCTTCAATAATCGATTCTGATGTGGCTGAAATTTATAGTCCAAAGAAAGCATTCATATCTAATTGACCAACTGTTTTCGATCGAAGTCAATCATTGGTATGTGCGATGATAAACAGCTGCTCTCGATCTATCAAATTACTCTTAGCCGAGTATACAGATAGAGCTATTATCGGCACCAATACTACTTTGACAAGCGCATGCCTTGACAGTGATCACCCTCAATCCATCATCAATAATTGTCCAATGATCCATAAATTTGTAACGATCATTCAGAACGAAGATCTTGACAACTAGAGAATAGAATAAAAAGTCCTATCATCCACATATAGCGACCTGTCCATACTGGATTAAACCAAATCAGATTGAATAATGTCAATGTTAAACTCTTGTATACGTGGCGCAACATACCAATGACAATAACTATCAAATATACGTCCAAGAAATTAAGAACAATCTTCGTTTACTTATCAATACATTGAAGAGAAAACCTTTCCTCTCTGTAGAATTCTATCAAGACAACAAGATCAACTACTACTCCGAGAAGCATGACAAATTCATTGTTATTGTCGTCATCTGGACAAAACCTGGTCTGAATATTCATAACCATCTTATTATTTCTTCTGCTTTCAAGATTTTTCCGTTGAAATTGAACAGTTTTACTTATCAAAACTTGAATAGTTTAAAGCTTTCCCGTAGGTTGTTCAAGACGAATACAACAAATATACACATGAATTGACTATGATGAAGATGAAAATCGAAGTAGAAAGAAGATTATCAACCTCATCCTATTAGATAACCGGTGGAATTGGCCAACAAGAAGCAAATTTGATTTTTGGCTACTATTTTAAGAACCTTTTAAGGTTAAAGCATAATATGGTTCTATCTCGCACTTATTTTATCTGCTTCGAAAAATGGTTCTAGATGGAGAAAAAAAATTCATTTAACAATCTCAGTCTAGTTCTGTCGATATTATTAGGGTTTCGGTATGGAAAAATAGAAGATCACATCCACACTCATACTCTTAACTAAAAAGCAAAGTTTAAAATAAAATAGAACACTTGTCAAATTTGTGAGATAATTTATGTTTACATAGAATTCATATATAGGTTAACAGTTCAAACAGACTTTAAGACATTAGAGATTGAGATAATGTCTTATGATTATTATTGAAAAGCTGAATGTATGCGAACGCATTTATAGAGATCTTATATCAATGATAATATTTTTTTTGCTTCTGCTCTAGTTCATCTAGAGATCGGTTAAATGAAAATTGAATATGAGTACAAGGTCACAATTTGTGGTATTTGGCTACCTCTTTTTTATAATGATAACAAAATATATTCGACAACTTCATTTGCATTTGTTGTCAAAAGAAGCCACTTGTTTCCGTGTTGGAAAATAAATACTAAACTGTGAATATGGTCGTTGGTCGTTTGCATATTCGTATGTAAATGTTTAGTTTCCAACAATATTAGTGGAATAAGAATATGGACGAAGATAATCGTTAGGTAGCATTGAAAGTATATTTTTTACAACTCCATCTTTGACTTCCATCCACAGATCATTCTCTTCTTTGTTCTAACAAACAATGAGATAGAATTCGTAGAAAAAAATCAGTAGGATCCTGGCAGATCAAATGTAGATCGGTTTATTCGTCTTGATATCTTCAATCTCGATACGCTAAACTATCAGACATCGCGGATTTAATAGGATTGGAAAGAGCGTCGTAATATGAATTCCAGTAATTGATTGATATGCTGTTGGAAAGATTTAAGAAATCCACTCTCGAGATGTCTCTTAAATGTCGACACTAGTTGAGTTAAACGACACGTTAAGCGTAAACAAGTTGATGTGCTTTTCTTTTAAGTTCATCTTGTTTTACTTTATACTAGGTGAGTTTCTTCTAAGTTATTCGAATTGGTTTCCTAGGAATATTATCAATATATCGCTTCACTGACTTTACAAAATCATTCATTTACCTTTCAAGTTCAAGTAAGAATTTTGTTTCTTCCTTTTGTTTTTGTTCATCAGACCGAGAAAGGATGGATCTCAATCATTTTCATAAATATTGGATTATATTATGAATGTGGGTGTGAGTTTACCAGTGCCGGCATATACTTTGTTTTGATTCCAACCGGAACAGGTACCGACATCCACATCCTCATGAAATTCATTCGGAAACAAAACATAATATTAATTGTGGAAGAAAAACTATGTTTAATTATTTAAAAAATAGAAATTAATAATGAAGATATGACATTAATCAACAGTCAACATATAAAGAGGCTTATCATTTTCATTTGAAAAAGAAAGCAAAGACTCACGTAAGAATCAAAACTCAATCAATTAGCGCACTGTTCATCTATATTCAGTACTAGTTCAAAATATTGATAAAATAATAACGACATTCAATGATTCACCTTTACATTCGTGTAATTCTTCGATCTGCTGAGCTCAGAGTGATGAAAAAAAATAAATGTGGAAACCTCGGATTTAAATCCGAGAGTTATGCGTACTGAAGAAGAGTGAATCAGACAAATCGGTCATTTTACAATGTGTGGATATAAAAATTAGCTTGGCAAACCCTTTCTATAAACACTTGAATTCTATTGGCTACTGCTCAACCAATAGGATTTCGGAGTGAATACAGAGAAGATTTCGACTCTTCGCCTTGAGCTATCCTAAAAAACTCGCTTTTCCTATAATTTGATTTCTATTGGTCAATGCTCAACCAATGAGACTTCAAGTCAAGTGGATTACAGATTCGAGTTCTCCATCCCAGAAAACCTCGAAGTATTATCTCTGTGATCGGAAGATCGAGCTCTATTTGTGGATCGATTAGAGCGCAGACAAAAACAGAACCGATTTCCGTTTATTTATCTTTGCAATAGGTGAGTTAATCTTCCTGTTTCTTTATGTTTTATATACCATTTTGTCGCTCGTGAAATTCTCTATCGAATGATGTATAATAGTTGGGGTTTTCTTTGACTATGATAGGGAAAGTGTTTTACGAAAGTGGGGATAGGTCGATTTTCCTATCGGAAGGCATAGGAAAAAATGAGTATTTTTCCAATAACTCAGGAACATTTGAAAATGTTTAAGTATGAAGTGAAACTTTGAATAAAAAGTTAAAAAGTATCACTAGTATGAAAACTAAAGTTGAATATATAAATAAGTCTTTGTAAAAGTTTGAACAATGTAGAATTTTTTATTATTGAGATTATTTCATCGAAAGTTTTCATATCTTTATATAGTGTATGTCCTTAGTCACTCTATTTCAGTTTTTATTCGATCCGTAATAAGTTTGAAAAAATGATGATTATCGGAAATTAGAAGATCTATAAGATTATTTCTAAAATATGAAATAAAACCTTGAAAAGCATCGTTCCATGATAAAGAAAATCATATGAGTAAAGTTTGTTGGAAAAAAGTGGCATTTCTAAATGTGTAATTTTGTTAAAGTTCGAAAGTGAAGATATAAAAATGGTAGGTTAGTCAAGTGACATATTTACTCTCCTAATGTGCAAGATTTTTTTATACAATGAATATGTTAATTGATAAAGCACATATCAATCAATGTTTCCATAATTAAGATATTCTTCTCTTCAATTGATCTGAGAAGTGATAGTTAATATTATCATATATTATAGTTTATAAAAGGTAAAATATTAAAATCTTTGATTTAGTTTGATAAAATGTGAATAATTAATATCGTTAATATGAAATGTTGTTTAGTGCATTAAAATCGAAATAAACATATAATGATTATGAAAAAATAAATATGAGAGACCTTTCCTTGTCAAACTTCAATTAGTTAATGATAATCAATTAATTCCTTTCTTCGGTTATTTAAAATATCTTTATATATAAATAATAAATTCTAGGAAAATCTAAATGATATTTTTCTATAATTATCTGATAAAATAAAAAGAAATAATTCTCTAGTATTTTATTTAAATGAATATAGGTTTCGACAATGTTTAGATTTAA